GACTTGCCCCAGGACAGCGGGGAGCAGGACAGGGACTTGCCCCAGGACAGCGGGGAGCAGGACAGAGACTTTCCCTAGGACAGCGGAGAGCAGGACAGAGCCTTGCCCCTTGACCAGGTTGTACTCGGTCCCGTGGCACCTCTCGGCGGAGTGGGACTGGAGCCGGGGCCCCAGATCCCGGGAATGGCCTGGGAACTCTCGCATCCCCAGCCTTCTGCCCCCAACAAGTCAGTCCTTTGAGCGGTGTCGGCCCCCTCCCCTTCCTGGTCTTGCACGGTGGACGGACTTGCTCTTGAAGAATGAACGGTAGAAGGTAGTTTCCCCGCGGTTGCCAGCTGGCCCCTAAGGGAGCACTTTCTAGAGCACCGATGGGGAACCCTCATCGGAGTCAGCCGGAAAATGGGATTTACAACCCGGGCGGCAAGTGGAGACCAGGCTGCAGTTCACTTTGACCCAGGCCGTGGGTTTGACTCTCAGTCCCTCACAGAGCAGCAGCTGGCTGAGGAGGACAGGCCCCACCCAGCTGGGTGCAGAGCCCAAGGGTGCTCTGCAGACATCCATAGGTGACACTCCAGCCAGAGGGGCCAGGTCCCCGGCCTGTGTGAGGAGCGGGCCTGAGCCTGAGCCTGACCGCGGGACAGTGATGGGAACTGTTGATGGGCCGTCTCCGTTACAGCTCACAGCTCATGGAAGGGGCAGCCTCACAGTGACGCCAGGCTTGGGGAGGGGCCCTCGGGCTGCAAATCTGTGCATTCAAGGTGGTGTTTCCCAGGGTGAGAAAGCTGTGCCTGTGAGTCTCTGAAGCCCCCGGCCAGTGCCTCACCCTGACGGAGAGGTTGAAGGTTTGACTCCAACCAGAGGTACCACGGAAGAAAGGCCTGGCAGCCTTCCAGTCCTGGCCAACCCTCTGTGCTTGGGGTCGCTACGGGTGACTTCACAGCATTGCATTTTCACTGGGTCCTCCTCCCCTCAGAGTCTGTTTATTACGGGACAGAGCGGGGGGACCAGCCTGCTGCTGAGGGAACCTGGCTACCCGAAAGTGGTCTCTTCCATTTCACATGTGGGGATGACATGTGCTGTTTCCCCCTTCACCCCCTACCGTGCCCGCCCTCCAGCCTCCAGCTCTGGTGTGGGCTGCAGCTGCCTGCACAGTCTGCTCCGGGACAGGATGTCACATGACTCAGGCACACTTAGCAGGAACCCCAGGTTGTGAGCAGCCTAGACCCCAAGAGACCCGAGAGGCTGAGCCCAGAGGTTCTGCCTTGATGTGCCCCGTGAGCAGGGGGCCTGGGCCTCCCCGCCCTCCCTGGAGGCGACTTCTCATGCGGGAGCCCCCTATCCCAGGAACGTACAGCTCTCTGGGGCTCTGTCTTTCCTCATCCTCCAGCCCGGTCCCCTCTTTTTGTCTTCCCAGGAGGGCCCCACCCAAGGCTGTAGGGCCGGAGGCAGCTGGTTCTGCTGATGCCAGGCGCCTGGAGGGTGCCCAGGACACCGCCCTGCTCTCACCCCCTCGCGGATGATGGCTCGAGGCCAGCCTGGGCTGGAGCCCTGCCCATGAGGCCCGACCATGGTGATGGTCCTGAGCAGAAGCCTCAAGAACCAGCGAGCTGACTGCGTTCCCTGCGGGACCTTCAGCCCAGAGCTGGTAAGGACTGGGGGTGTCCCAGGGGGTGGGGGGCGGGCATCGGACAGACCTACTTTCTAGGGCTGGCAGGCGAGCCCCTGGGGTCTGAGAGCGGGGTGGGCAAGAGGATGGGTGAGCTGGAAGGACAGTCCCAGGGTAGAGGTCTTGGGTGAGGCAGACAGCCCGGCCCCTGGTCAACAGCAACCCCGCTCAGTGCGGCCGCCTCCTCCAGCCGGAGGCTGGTATTCCATCAGGCTCGACCATAAAGAGGGTCTGTTTCCAGGGGTGAAGCGGGCGGTGCCTGCATGGGGGGCCAAGATAAGGCCACACCTCCACAGGGAGTTGGAAAGTGAGCTGCACCTAGGGAATGGCTGGAGAGGGAGCCCGCCCTCCAGCTGCCCTCTGCCAGGGTGCCCTCTGAGGTGGGTAGTCTCAGGGGGGCAGGGACAGAACAAGGGCATACAGCCGAGCCCCGTCCCAGCTGGGTTCCTTGGAAGAGGGAGCAGGGGCCTGTGTGGGAAGGACTGTTGCCTGTGGGTGAGTCCCCTGGCCAGGGTGGCCCCTGTGGTCAATAGGGGGCTAGCCACCAAGGTCATGTTGCCCAGCCACCTCATGAAAACTGACAGCCGGCTCCGTGGTGGGCTCCCATCCACAACGCACCACTGAAAGCTAGACCAAACCTGGCCGACTGGCCCAGGGACACCACCAAGAGCTGATTGCACCCCACAGACCTGTCCAGAGCCCCTGTGAGGGTTGGATGCCAGGCCACAGGGATTCTGAGAATGAGGCTGTATCAGAGTGAGGCTTGGCCCCCTCTTTGCCCTGTGACACCCCAGCTCTGGCCTCCCTGCTGCTGTGGCTCACACCTGAAGCCCAGAGAGCCCAGAGGAGGGAGGGCTGGCTCACCTGTCACCGGGACGCTGGACTGGGCTTGGTTAGGGGTGAGGAGAAGTGGCAGGGCCCCCTCCCTGACAGTGTACAGGCGTGGCTGCCCCTTCACTCTGTCACGCTCGCCCCACTTGTGGCTCCTGAGGCCAAGCTTCCAAGTGATATATTAGGTGCCCCCAAGTCCTGCAGCCTTCACCAAACAGACCTGGTGGATGGGGCCTGCCTCCTGGCTGGTGGCACGTGGCCAGGGCAGGCACCTAGGATGTACTTGGTGGACGAGTCCTTTAGCCCCTGCAGCCATCGGCCTTCTGCCCATCTCTGCTTCCTCCCAGTTTGCGTTCATACGTGAAGGACCAGGATTGCCCCGAACTTAATGACTCCTCGTGTCCCAACGGCCCCCACCCTGGGCCAGCCTGCACCCTCTTTCCTGGATTCTCGTAGTAACTGCGGCCCCCCTCCCCCCCATTGTTTTTACCTTCTGGTTTTCTCTGCCCAGTGCCTGCTGGCTTGAACCACAGCCAGGAACCCTTCAGGAAGTAGAAGGCCTGGGGACACACAGCTCCTGCCCCCTTGCCCTTTCTAGTGTCACCCCTGCCCCCAGCTTCCTCGATCACACTGGCCTGGCCGGGCCTGCCCCAGGGCCTGGCATCTCTCTCCCCTCTCTTCTGCAGCCACTGGACCTAAAAAGAAACTCCATGCTCCCTCTAGCCCAGGGGTCCTCAAATTTTTTAAACAGGGGGCCAGTTCACTGTCCCTCAGACCCGTTGGAGGGCTGGACTATATAGTTTAAAAAAAAACTATGAACAGCTTCCTATGCACACGGGCGCGGGCCGTGAGGACGCCTGCTCTAGCCCATGCACCTCTCCGCCCTGGACCGCCCCCACGGAGGCGCTTAGCGCATTCCAAAGTGTCACGTATGCTCTTGCTGCCCAAGTGACCCCCCCACCCTACCCCACCCCAGAAGTGAACTTCTAGGCAGCAGGAAGGTCCCGCCTCTCTTGTTGGTGGCTGACCACTCAGGACTGAAAAACTGGGCCCAGCAGCCCTGTCCCTCCTCGGCCTATTGGTCCTGGGTGAAGGGGGTGACGAGGAGGGGAGCTGTTTTCTGTTGGTGGTGGTGCCACGATGTCACTATGGGTTGGTGCCCCTCCCCACACCGCCCAACTTCCTCCCATAGCCGAGCACACAGACAGCTCTAATCATAGAACGCAGTGGTGTCACAAGGTTGATGTCACCCCTGCGGGGACAGTATAGGGTGCCCCCTCTCCCTCCCACGGACCTCCTCCTGTATAAATTAAGGAGCGCACCGAGTGCTTCCTGATGCCGGCTGTCGGTTTTCTCCACAGACTGGTACCTGATCAGTGTAGCTCTCCATCGCACTGACTCTGTTAGCACAGCGTCCCACTCACGGTGGGGAAGCCTCCTTTGAGTTTTCTCCCCTTTCCCTTCACGTAGGAGCCCTGGTGGGGTAGTGGCTTACGTGTTGGGCTGTGACCTGCATGGTGGGCAGTTCAAAACCACCAGCAGCTCCGAGGAAGAAAACCCTTTAAGGCTTTTATTTCCTTAAAGGGTTGCCGTCTCGGAAACCCACAGTGGTCTCTGAGTCAGCACTGACTCAACGGCAGCGAGTTTGGAGTGTCGGGTTTTCCTTGTAATGAAGGAAGCTCGGAGGTTGGAGGTTTCGTGTGTCGGGAGCTGGTGGTCGTCTGTAACCCCCAGACCTCCATGGGAGGAAGGCGAGGCTTTCTTCCTGTAGTTACAGGCTTCGACGCCCCGGGCAGCGCTAGCCTCCCCTTGAGGGTCGCCATGAGTAGAAGTCACCTTGGTGGCAGTGAGTTTGGATGCTCCTCCTTTAATCAGTACGTCCTTTCCCATACAGGATCGATACAGATTCACAACTACTACTTCCCACACAACCATAGCTAAAACTCCAGAAAACTCGGAAAAAAATAAAAAAATGAACAACCGTAAAAACCGCTGCCATGAAAACGGTGTGTACGTGTGGTGTGTGCAGGAGGCCACGTGATTCAAGGCTAACTGCGGCTCTGGCCGGAGCCCATCCTGGCATTCCAGCGGTAGACTGCCCCAGAGCTTTAGCAGTAAACTGGGCCTTCGAGCAGCGTCGTTGTTACTGGAGCCGACCACGCTCGTTGCCGTCGACTTGATGGGGTACCTGCTGAGACTGGCACGAGAAAGGCCATTGGGTGTCACCCCTCTGACACTTGCAGCCTGCCCCTCTCCCTGCCCACACCAGTGACCCACCACTCTCGAATGGCTCTGACCAGACTGGAGTGTCTGCGGGTGAGGGGCCCCGAGAAGGCTTGCGTTTTCACCCCTCACTGGTACCAGCTGTGCAGATGGCCCCCTCTGGGCCCATGGGCGGACCGCACAGCAGTCCTTTGGAGAGCCGAGCCTGAGGCCCCGCTGCAGCCCTGAGACCAGCCTGCTGTGCTGGGGAAGCAGAACCAGCCTGGCGGGGAGAAGAGGGAAGCCGAAGTCCAGAGGAGGGAGGGTGGTGTGGTGTGCAAGGGATCCTGGGAGGACGGGCAGGCTGCCGCAGGGGATGCTGGGAGGGAGAGCTGGAAGGAGAGCAGACTGCAGGGCATCCTGCGTTGTGTCCCGTGTGCATACCTGCTGCTCCACAGACAGCTCTCTCCCCCTCCCTCCTGCTGCTGCTCCTGATGGTCAATCCCAGAAGCTTCCAACCCACGCTCGGCCCCTTTCTCCTCCTCATCCTCCCCACTGGCCTCCCAGATGGGGGTGCGGGGCAGGGAGCAGCTGCCCTTTGAGCCAGAGGGCTGCCTTCCGTCCTGGCCTAGACCTGTTTGCTGGGGGCTGGTCGAAGCACAGGGCTGGCAGTGTATGGGGGCAGGTAGGCAGGGGTGTCCTGCAGAAGGGAATTGTAGGACATGGCACGGGGACCAGCTGCCTTCTACTTGTCCCTGTGTTGGTTCCCCCTCCTTCGTTTCTCCCACCTCCGCTTCTCCCGTATCCCACCAGAACCACTGGTCCCGTTTTTTTTCATCTCCGAATTATTTATCCCGCCTATCTTATCTAGTTGGACATACAGATACAGTAATAAGTACAAAAATCAGGCAAAGCCAAATAAAACAACAAAGGAAGTCAAAACCAACAAAACAATTAACCAAAAAAACAAATACAAGATAACAATAACAAAAAGCTACTGAGTGAGTGAGCTAGTGAGTGAGTGAACCAGTGGGTGAGTGAGCCAGTGGGTGAGTGAGCCAGTGGGTGAGTGAGCCAGTGGGTGAGTGAGCCAGTGGGTGAGTGAGCCAGTGAGTGAGTGAGCCAGTGAGTGAGTGAACCAGTGAGTAAGTGACCCAGTGGGTGGGTGAGTGAGGGAGTGAACCAGTGAGTAAGTGACCCAGTGGGTGGGTCAGTGAGTGAGTGAACCAGTGAGTGAGTGAACCAGTGGGTGGGTGAGTGAGGGAGCCAGTGAGTGAGTGAACCAGTGAGTGAGTGAGTGAAGAAATGCTTTCTGGACTTGTGGACAGGAGGAAGGTGGAAGGAAACAGGAAAGATCTAGGAAGCAAAACTATGGATAGAAGAATAAACATAGGTGTGGACTCATGTAAATATATTCATAAAAATAGAGGTATTGACTAGGTACATATCTTTATATGGCTATACACTGAGGTAGTGGATTGATTTGGGGCCTCTGCTCAAGCCCTCCCTCAATGCAAGAACACTATGTTCTCTAACAACCTGGCATTTTGTGATGCTCACCCTCCCGGCAAAATCGCCAAAGGCAAAATAGGTGCATAAGCCAATGAAGTAAAGAAAGCTGATGGTGTCTGACTATCAAAGGATAAAGCATCTGGGGTCTTCAACAAGGTGTCCACCGGATCAGGTAACAGGCATCAGAAGACCCAACATCCCCTCACAGAAGGGTCACAAGGAAGGAATGAGTCAACCAGGTTGCAATATAGCTCTGATGAGACACAATATTCTTCTGGTTCCTTTTGGCTACCCCCCCTCCCCAAATCCCTGATGCAAGTGACAGTGGGGTGGCATTTCTCACCCTGTGGTTGTGGCCTCCCACTCATACCCCACTCCTGGGGCTCAGGTCTGGAGGGCCCAGCACTGCCCTCTGTCTGGAGGACCGGCGGGTCCAGTGGGAGGAAGGAGCCCGGCCTGTGTCCGGCAAGAGCTGATCAACTTCCTGCTTATGCCTCGCCCACCACCCAGCCTCGTCAGCTTTCCTGCCTTGTCATGGCTTGGGCTTCTGTGGACTGCGTACAGCGAGGCTGTCTCCCCTCCCCCTGCTGTGGCAGATGTGGGCGGGGTGGTTACCAGGTGCCCCTCATGAGTCTGGGTGCCCATAGCCTGTGAGCTGGGTTCCTTATTAGGCAAGGCCTGGCCGTGCAGGAGCCTGCCTCCTTGCCCTACCCGTCTCTGGAGCCAGGGCCCTGCCAGCCATGCCGCCCGCAGGGCTGTCTGATTGCTGTAGGGCCATGCAGGCTGGGCTCACAAGTGCTGTCACCCGTGCCCCACAAGGTGACCTCAGCTGGACATCTAGGGAGCAGTGACCAGAGTGCCAGCTGAGAGGGAGGCAGAAGGTATGGTCACACTGGACTCTTTGCAAGGTGACTGCTGATTGGATGGCTAAGTAATGGGGTGACCCCTCGCAGCAGAGGGTGGTTTTCCCCCCCGAGGAAAGGGCGCCAGAGGGGGCCTGCCCCATGGCCATGTGGACTCCTGCCCGACATTTCCAGGAAGCCAGCCCTGATGCCCCATCCCCACCCCAGGTCTACCCACCAATTCTGCCTCTCCTAGTGTCATTTACTTGTCTTCTCGATTATCCTCTCCTCTCTGCGGGAGCCTCCAGAGTCCCATGTCCCCAGGACTGCCTCTTATCCCCATGGCAAAGGTTCTGGGATGGGGCAGTTGGAGCCGGGGACAGGGAACTGGTGCCAGGCACTTGCTACCTCTTATCTGGGTGAGACAGATGTTCTCTGCTCAGCTCCACCCTTTTCTGTCCAGGCCTCCGAGAGCCAGGCTTGGGCTCCCACTCACTTCTTGGCCTCCTGTATGCCCAGGTATCTCTGTCTTTTGGGGGGACTGGGCCACTTACTCTGGCCAGCTGGCTGACTTCAGGGACTGAGGGCTACCTTTCACTGTTGCATGCCCAACCCCCAGCCCAGCACCGGCACGTGGGAGAGATCCACATCTGCTGGGCGACTGCATGGATGGTCAGATGAACGGGCACTTGAGGCAGGCCTTTCTGCCCCTCCTCAGAGGTCAGAACAGTGTTCCTGACTCTCAGGGTCAGGATTCCCCTTGAACGTGGCGATGTGGTATGGTCCCTGCTGGCCACAGCGTGGCCCCGCCGTCCGTGCTGGGTGCCGGGCCGGCAGGGAGATGGAGGCTGCTGAGCAAGGAATGGAAGGCTGTCTGTCAGAGGAGTCAGTGCCGAGGCTTCCAGGGTCACAGCGGTCATGCCACGGCCAGGGGGAAGCTATAAGTTTTGCTTCCGGTCAGTTGGGGGGTGGGGTGGGTGTGTTCTCCTATCTTGGAGGGGGGATCCCTTCCCAGTCTGGGCAGCAGGAGGCCTTGCCGTCAGCCCAGCATGGCAGTTAGCTGAGCTCATGGTCCTCCCCCTCCCCCGTCCTCCTTGGGTCACTCCTGTGGAAAGTCGCCTCACGGTAGGGCAGGGCTAGGGCTCTCTGGTGCCAGGCTCGGGCTTGTCAGGCACCGCCATTCACCAGGGCCCACACCTGTCTGTGCCCTCCCCTGGCCTGACTCCATCCCGGGGCGGCCACGCCACCCCACCCCATCCCGAGTGGCTCTAATGAGCACACGGCACAAGCTGTGTGGGACGCGCCTCCGTGATGCCAAGATGTGAATAGACTTTCTGGTTGTTTTCAGCACACGCCCGAGAAGATGAGTCAAGGGCCCACCCTGTTCTCGTGTGGCATTATGGGTAAGTAGCCGAGGCGTCCGTGTGCTGCCTGCTGCTCTGTCCTCCTGGCGCCCTCCCCTCTGAGTGAGACGGGTGGGCTGGGGGCGTCTCCTGTGGGTGCTCCCTGCTGGGGTTCCCAGGCTGCTGGGCTGAGTGACAGGTGGTTTCTCTCCATCGCTTAAAATCTCTCGTGGCTGAAGATGAATCACAGAAACCTCCCTGTGCTCCCCAGCATTCTCCCCCTCCCCCCGCGCTAAGTCCCATGAGCGTTTCGCTGTTCCTGTGCCCTTGGTTTGTGGCATAGCCGCACGCATGGGGCATGTGTGCTCAGGTACAGCTCCCTTCTGTAGCGGTGATGGAGCCCCACCAAAGACAGAATGGGAGAGAGACCCGAGAACCAAGGCAGCGCCTTCCCTCGCCGTCCGTCAGTCTGTCAGGGGTGCCACTGATCACACAGACAGCCCCTTGTGCACACCCCTTGTGCCTCACCCTCCTGGGGGGTGTTGGGTTCCCCTATCTCTCTGCAGAGTGAAGTGGTTCTTCCCATTTGGTTGACACGCTGCCTTGTGTGCGGATTGACATGTGTTTGGTTGTTGCCACTGCAGTTGCCGCTCGCTGGCAGCAACTGCCCTCTGTGTGTGTGTGTGTGTGTGTGCGCGCATGTGGGGGCTTCACGGGCTGTGCTGTGAGCCCTTCTCTAGGACAGCCCCCCGTGGAGGCGAAGGCTTGTGAAGCAAGTTGCTTCCTGGAGAGGCTGCACTGCCTTCCTGTAGGGGGTGGTGGGGGGTGGGGCGAGTGTGAGGGATGCGTGTTTCTGATGGGGAGAGAGGGTGGCCACATGGACGGCATTGGTTTCCTTCTGAACCTGGTACGGGCACGATGTCTGCTTCAACTTCCCGCTCTAGGTCAGGCAGACCCCTGAGTCGCTGGCTCCCTTGGGGCGAGTTGGTGGGATGCCCGTATCAGATGGAACAGCAGACGTGCGGGATGGCATGCTTCCCCTGCTGGGGACCCGTCCCCTGGGACCAGGGTCTGAGTTCCCACCAGATGACGGTGGCTGAAATGAGTCTGGTGCAAGCCCCTCACAGGTGCAGTCCCATGCACCCCTTGGGAGGGTGCTTTGAGGTGAGGGGTGCTCTGTTCCCTTCTGGGGAGACTAAGGTGCCTCGGCCCTGGTATGTGCGTGGGGGCGTGGCTTTCAGCAGGTGCCCCACCCTGTGGGGATCCTGGGTGTTCTCTGTGCTGTCACAGGAGAGGGGAAGCAGACCCTTACTCACCAGGCCTCAGCCTCTCCAGGGGCCACCCTGAGCCTGTGCCCACAGAGTGGGGCTGCCCGAACACTCCCCGTGGGCCCAGCCATGGAGCCTCAAAGCCTGCCCTGTTGCCTAATTCCCCAGGCCCCTCTCTGCTTGACGTGGCCAAGAAGGAGCTCCCTGACCCTCCACGGCCTAGGGTTCGGCTGCCTGATGCTGTGAGGATGTTGGATTTCATCCCTGGGCACCCAAGAGCAGCCTTTTTGGCTTTGCCTGCAGACATCATTAGCAGTGGTTCTCAACCTGTGGGTCGTGACCCCTTTGGGGGTCAAATGACCTTTTCCCAGGGGTCGCCCGATTCATAACAGCAAAATTACAGGGATGAAGTAGCAACAGAAATAATGTGATGGTTGGCGGTCACTGCAACATGAACTGTATGAAAGGGTCGCGGCATGAGGAAGGTGGGGAACCACTGGTCTATGGGCTTACTGTGACTGCCCCTGGGAGAGGCTCTCCTCACTCCTCCCGCCCACAAAGGACATTGTGTGGGGGCCCTTGGGCTTGCTGGGTGGACGCTGAGTGGGAATGTGGGTGAAGCTCAGAGTGAGTGCTCCGTGAATCATAGGTTCCCAAGAAGGCCCAGGCCTGCCCTGGAAGGCCTGCTGCTGCCCAAACAAGGGGCCACGTCGCTCCCCAGGGCCCTCGGGAGGGGGGGTGTCAGGGTGGAGCCCCAGGGCCCAGGCTGTACATGGGGAAGACGCTGTTCTCAGATTCATCCCGAGTCTGCCGGGGCTGCAGCTCCTCATAGCGACCTGCTCTGCCTTCTGGCTCCCGTCCCAGCACGTTTCTGCCCACGGACCCAATTTCCTCTGTCACCGCTTTTGGGGGAAGAGCCACATGGCACTGCCCTTAGATATGGCCGCCCAGTGGCCAGCTGCCAGGCCAGCGAGCTGTCCCCAGCACTTGGTTGCTAGAGGGACAAATGACTCTGAGCTCTGCCAAGAGACCATAGAGTGGCAAGCCTCTCATGAGCACTTGTGCCCACCCCACGGGTGTGTGTGTGTGTGTGTGTGTGTGTGTGTGTGTGTGTGTGGGTGGGGGTTACATTTGCATGGGGGACGCTTCTCTGGGCTGAAACAGGGTCACATGTGCACAAGTTGAATCTCTTTGGGTGGGAGGGGGGCTGTGAAACAGGGCGAGTGGGGTGGGAGCAGGCTTCGTTCACGCCCCCGGGCTAATTGCAACCATTCAGTGCGCCCTGTGTTGTGGGGACAATGGGCTCTCCCCCATTTCCATTTTCCTCACCGCTCCCTCCCCGGCAAAGAGAAGACCTGGAAATCAAATAGCTGTTGTGAGGGAGGAGCGCAGGCCAATCATTTCCAGTGGCCACTCAGAAAAGTCTTGTAAAGACAAGCCAATAGGCAGGGAGCACAACAATTCATATGCTAAAAAAAACTGGACAGGGAACCCATAATTACTTTGGGGAGCTATGGTAATAAATTATTTATTAATGTAAATGACTTCCCGGGGCCCAGAACTTGGAGGTAACTTGAGCAGAAGGATCATGCATTATGTATAAAAAGGAATTGTTAAAAATATCAGAGCGGTCTCCCCTGGTTGCTTGCTCCTCACTCCGGTTTGATGGGCCGCTGTTTAATTACAAGCCCTCGTTTCTTGCGTTTAATGACTCGGCTGCTAAAGTCTTCTACGGATATCAGAGCATTGTTCCCTGGGGCCCCCTCAGCAGTGATTTCTTCAGGGATGGCCAGTGGGCTGCGGTGAGTCTTGCCGGGGGAGGGGCTCGCACCCTTAGATTTGGGGACTCCCAGTTTTCTCAGGAGGCCGTCTGTCGTCAGAGGTGGGGCGTGATCGCTCCCGGTGCAGGAAAAGGGCATTTGGAGACCGTTGGCAAAAGTAACCAAGCCAGAGCTGGCCAGCCTGATGCCTGCTTTCGTGCCCCATCTTTCCAGCAGGGCCACCGGGAACGTAATGGGGCCAGGCTGCCCAGGAGAAGCCGGTGTGTGGCCGAGTTACAGGCTAGAAGGAGACTCACATTCCGTAGTCACAAGCACATCCTTATACACACAGAGCCCTGCGTGTGGTTTCTCATCCCTGAATTATAGTAGCACCACTTGTCCATCAGTAGTGGCCCTCGATAACCTGGGTGGACACGGTGGCTGCACCCGTGAACTCGGGCACAGGAACAACTGTGAGGGCAGTGTTTTGTTCTGTTGTGTCGCTGTGGGTCTCTGGATGGCTCCTAACAACAACAAATCAGAACAAAGCTCACCCTTACAAAACCCACTGCCATCCGACTCACAGTGACCCTGTAGGACAGGGTAGGACTGTCACTCATAATGGGAACAGAAAGCCTCATCGTTCTCCCTTGGAGTGGCTGGTGGGTTTGAACTACCGACCTTGCGGTTAGCAGCCCGATGGGCTATGCCATCAGGGCACCTCCTTTAGAAGGTGCTCTAAACTCTCTCTGGCACCCGCCTTGGACAGTGCTTCTGCCTTGAAGTGCAGACTGGACGTGGCTGCACAGTGCATTTGACTCCTGGCATCTGCCTACAGTGACAGGAGAAAGGGAGTCCCCTGGGTGTGGGGAGGGGGCATGATGATGCCAGAGGACAGGGGAGGGCCATAGTGAGGTTCCCTCCCACGTGGAAAGGTGGGAGAGAGGCGGACAGTCTGGCCCAGCTGCAGAGCATGACCTTGGGATCACAGACCAGGCTCAGGCTGGGCTCTGCCATCTGCCAGCTATGAACTCACAGGCCAGACACTTCCCCAAGAAAGCCGTGCCCCTGGGGAGGACACAGAAGGGTGAGCTAGGCGCCGGCCAGTGATGGGCATGATTTCATGCTCTTTCCTGGCGGTGGCAGGCTGGCTGGTGAACAGTGGTGTACATTCGCTGACTGTCCGCTCGTGCGGTTAAGCTTGGGTTCCCATGTGGACCCACAGTTGTCGTCCACATGCTCTGTGCACCTGACACCCAAGGCAGGACCTGCTGGTGGATGCCAGCCTTTTCCTGATGCCCTGGAGAGTGGGCTACAGTGGGTTGGCACAGGCACTCAAGCCAGCACGCCTTTTATACCTCTGCACTGCCTGCGTGGGGTGTCCACTGGGCCCCTTCCTACACCCTGAAGCAGAGCCAGCCCATCAGTTAGCAGAAGGGGGCTGTCAGGAGGGCGCCTCAGCTTTCTTGTCTCTGGTTTCTTTAGAAAGGGCCTCCTCCTACACTGCTTCCCTCCAGCCCAGGTTCCTTGCAGCCCCGAGGCCATGTGCACAGAGCCCCGGGCTGGCAGAGGAGTGGCACTGCCCCTAGCACCACAGCCATGGCGAAATCCTGAAGCGGGTGGGCCAGGTGCTGTCTGCTTCACCTCTCCGGAAACTGTCCTCTGCTGGGTCCCTTGAGGCAGCTTTGGAGCATAAGTAGGCTTGCAGTCTCCATGGACCTGAGCCCCTGAGAGTCCCCTTTGAGTTCGAGGGCAGAAATAGAAACGAGCATCTTTGAGGTCAGCTGCTCCCCTGACGTTTCTTCCTCTGGTGCGAGGGTCTGTCCTGCAGAGGCTCTGCCCTCCTTACTTGGAGGCCGGACCCATGCCGGGGTGGGGGTGGGGTGGCACCTGACTCTCCAGTGGTCAGCAGCAGTCTAAGGCTCCGGGCCTCTGAGTTTTCTCTTCCAGCTTCCCTGCACCAGCCTGCAGCCTTGGGGGCCATCTTCAAGGTCAAGGGACCACCAATGAGAGGCAGGCCTCGGTGTTTGTA